CCTGGCGCAGCAAATGGTGCAGCATCGCCTAACAGGCCCACCGTAGCCCGGCGAATGGCGCAGCGTCGCCTAACAGGCCCACCCTAGCCCGGCGAATGGCGCGGCATCGCCTCACTGCCTTGCCCTGGTGCAGCGTATGACACGGCGCCACCTCACATCCTCAGCTTGGCACGGCGTCACCTCAGAGCCTCACATGGCCCAGTGAATGGCATTATGTTGCCTCATAACCTCACCCTGGCATGGTGAATGGCGCAGCATCACCTAAGAGCCCATTTCTGGCATGGCATCACCTTGCAAACTCTGCATGGCGTGGCAAATGACATGGCGTCACCTCAGAGCCAAGCCCTGGCATGCCAAATGATGTGGCATTGCCTCACAGACTCCGCATGGCACAGCGAATGGCATGTCATCACCTCACAGACGCCACATGGCATGGCGAATTACGTGGCATCACCTCTTAGTCTCGCCATGATATGACAAAGTGTCTGGGGGTCATCATGATGTCAGGATGAAGTATGCAGGTGGCACTTCAGGGCCTCAGTTTGGTTCTATGGGGAATCACAACATCACGGAAGGATATGACGGCAAAGCACGGTGGGAGTCACTGTGACACAGCAAGATGCCCTGGTGCAGCATATGCAAATATTACTGGATAGTGATGCCAAAATGCCTATCCTGTCATAAGGCAATAGGGACTTCTATTAGAGTAGGCCTACTATGTCACGTAGTCCGAAAATGTCATGAAGATTTACCCTTTGGATGTAGCCATTGGCGCTGGACAGACTGGAATAACCTCAATGGAAAATCAAGCAAGATACAAAGATGAAGGACTAGGTTCGAAGACCGTTAATTCTGGTGCATGTGCAGTTGTGTCTGGCTTCTGGAAAATCATCGATATGGTCCTTACATGCCAGAATCCTGCTGCCCCAGCTGTGAAAGACAACAACGTCAGGGCCATACCAGTGACTGTTTTTGACTGCAAATTGCAGCCCTGCAGAGCCAACACAGCTTTGGGAGAACAAGCTGGAGTACTAGCAGCGGGGCGACAGCCAGGCTACGTCTACACTGGCGTGATCTTGCGCAAAAACTCTTTAGCACAAGAGTTCTTGCGTTAAAATAGTTGTGAAAGAGAGTGTCTACACTGGCATCTTGCGCAAAAGGAATTATTCCTGAGCAGGAGTGTCAGAGTTCTTGCGCAAGAAGCCCTGATTTCATACATTAGAACGTCACTTTACTTGCGCAAGAACACATGGCCAGTGTAGACAGGCAGCAAGTTTTTGCACAAGAACAGCTGCTTTTGCGTGAGATCGCGCCAGTGTAGACACAGCCCCAGTGTGGGCCCAGGCCCAAGGTGTGGGGGGATGGCCAGACTTCACACCCCTGGAAGGGTGGAGACTTGGGCAGAAGGGGCAGGGCCAAGGGCAGTCAGCCTGTAGCACCTGCCGCAGCACTGGCTCTCCCCACCCCTAGCCCCCAGAACCTTGCAGAGTGGCACTCACGCAGCATTTCAAAGGAGCCCGTAGCTCCTGGCTGCCACCAGCTGGGAGTTCCAGGCCCCTTTGAAACGCCAGCCCCTATGCAATTGCCCCCTTTGCCTCCCTGTCAGTGGGCCTGGGTACTTGTGATCTCCTTTCCATGCCCACGTGACTCTGGAGTTACATGTTCGCCTGCAGAACAGAGCTTGAAGCCCAAGTTCACGGTTCTGAGTGCAAGTCCCCTCTGAGGCTGAGGAAATCACAGCTTTGTGTTCAGCAACTCACCTGCATTTGGAGGCATTTGTGGATTCTCCTCCCCTAATGAAGCAGCTGGCATTGGAGTGTACCAAGTGCACTGTCCTTCGTGCTGGTGAGCACGTTGCTGCTCCGTGCAATGCTGGCCAATGCACTGAGATGACACCAAGGGCACTGCCCGTATGGGCTGACATGCTACATGTGGCAAACACTTGACTGGATGGGGGATGGAGGGGAAACAGGATATAAATGCCACCCTTCCTCTGCTGTACTGGGTGAGACCGTCAGGCCAGATGGTCTGAGCTTCTACTTGCGGCAATACTGTATCACCTCTGCTGCACCTCCCATTCCAGCAGGACCCTTCCGAATTTCCACTCCCCCAGGGAACATTTGTAGAAAACCCTTCTGTGCAGTGGCTTTTTATATTGGTCTCTGACCACAACTGAGCGCGTCTGATGCCGAGGACCAGGGGAGACAATAGGAATACATAGCTTGTGGACAACCTGATCTCCAACCCCTAAGACTCCATAAGGACACCCTCTGGGTTTTCCCAATGCCCATTGCCTGCTCTAATTCAATTTAGCCTAGGATGACAGTCTTGTCCCTTTCTTACAAACAGATTTATAGCAGGGAGTGGGCTCTAGCTTGCCAGCACTCGGCTTCTGTTCCTAACACTGCTATCACCTTTGCTGCCGCCGCCGCCTCAGAGCGATAGTTTTTACCCACTTCCCTGAGATGGCAAGGATCTGTGTTCCCCCCAGGACAGCAGTATCAGTGCCGGCTTTTAGCACATGCTGTAAGAAATGTCAAACTTCCTGCCTCAGTTGGGCTGCAGAACTTAGAGCATTAAGGATTTGCAGCTAGAAAGTTTTTGCTATTCATTTACTGACAGTCAATCCAGGGCTGGCAAAGGTACCGCTCTGTTTGAGCTCAGTGGGGTAGGGAGCTCCTGAAAAGGGAAGAGGCCAGAAAGGAACGGGAGTCACTGATCACAAGACAATTGAAGCAGGGCGGGAGGTTCTGCAAAAGGATGCCAATGTGGGAGGTGACTGGCAGCCCTGGGACCTCTAGTCAGCTCGATGGGGAGAGGCAGCTGGGAGGTGGAACCACCCGCCGGACTGTGCTGCGGGTGGGTGGGACAGGTCGGTGTCCCTGGCCCATTCAAAGCTTATCCTCTCTGCCAGCCCAAGGGCGGGTTTCTGTGACAGCGAGAACTGCCCCAGAGGACCTTGGCCGAGAGCCACTTAGTTGGTGCCTAGAGCTCCCATCAGCTGATCCCTCCCCAGTGGCCTTGCCCTGAAACATGCTGCAGCCCACTCTAGCTCTCTTGGCAAAAGGGCTGTTACTGGGGTGTGGGAGGGTCAATATTTGTTCATGTCTCTAAACTATTTGCTTAAACCTGGCAGCTGGGGCAGTAGGCCAGGAGCTATTCCTGCAGGAGGGCCAGGGGACTAGCTCTCGCAGGAGGGAAGGCTGTTATTCTGGGCTAGGGAGCGCTGGAAGTGCTGCTGGGAGAAGTCACCTTCTCTCCCCTGATCCATCAGCAGGTACAGAAAAGTGCCGCACCAAACAGCTGAGGCTTCCCAACCAGTGGGAAGAGAGCTGCTCAGGGACCATGGAGACCTGCTGCCAGGCAGCAGAAAAAGCCTGTAAGGGGAACAGGAGTGTTTAATGAGAACACCAAGCTCCTGCTTTAGGGCTAGATTAGCATCGCCAGTCCTCCTCAAACAGGCCTGTATGGGGAAATGACGGTGTAAGCAGCCTTGGAGGAGTCACTGTGCCTGCACCAAGCCCCTGATGTAGCACAGCTCCCGCCTCATTCTATGCCCAGATGTGCCTGCAGACGGACAGCTGGCCAGCGTGGGTGAGTCAAGCTGGCAGCCCAGGAGAGCAGCTCACCACCACCTCCCACGGGAACCCGAGCTGGGTCTGCTCAGGTCCCGCGCTCCCTGTCACAGGCAGCTAAGACAGCCTGCACCATTGTTCAAGGCTAGGAGCGCTACCGCTACTGCTCCTCCCAGCACTGGCCTCAGAAAGGACTTTTCCTTTGCTGGGCCCTTCACCAAACCACCAGGAACTGAAGGCACCAGCCTGGAGACCTTCAGAGCCGCTTTGAATTGTGACTTGTGGCGCAGCCTCAACCTGCAGCCAGCACAGGGCTGTGCTGTCCGTCCCAGGGGCCCAGAGGCTTCTGGTGCCCCTCCTCGGCAGGCAACCGCAGCACACGGAGAAGCCGATTGCTGTGATTTTGGGCAGCCGCTGGCCCGTATGAAAGGCCTGTTGCCTGGGGATGTTGCTGACAAAGGGAACGTCTCTCGGGCCCAGAAAGGAAAATGAGGTTGTTAAACTCCTTGTGGTCCCGGCACCTCTGACCAGCCCAGCAAGCCCCTGCAGCAGCAGTGGCAGAGGTGAACAGTGAGCAAAGGGGAGGAGGCAGGACGTGTGGGCAGGAAGAGAGACGGGATGAGGGCCTTCCAAGAGCAACGAGGGACCAGTTGGCGCCAAAGGCCAAAAACTTCCAAGTTCCTTGTGCTTCAGCCATGTTCACTTCCAATCTGACTGGAGCAAGGGACACTTGTTCCCTGCCCAGGCAGACACAGCCCGGGGCACCTGACCCAGTGGCCAGGGAAAGCTGCTATGGGCCTAAGCTATACCAAGGATGGGGTGGCCGCAGTGGGCCGAGACGAGGGACCAGTTGGCGCCAAAGGCCAAAAACTTCCAAGTTCCTTGTGCTTCAGCCATGTTCACTTCCAATCTGACTGGAGCAAGGGACACTTGTTCCCTGCCCAGGCAGACACAGCCCGGGGCACCTGACCCAGTGGCCAGGGAAAGCTGCTATGGGCCTAAGCTATACCAAGGATGGGGTGGCCGCAGTGGGCCGAGACATCCGGGAAACATTCCATACAGCCAGCACCTTCGCCCCGGAGCCTTGCCACGACTGCATGCAAGACACCCCCCCGGATCTTGGTTACTGGGCGGGTGTCTCTAGCTCAAGCTGTGGGGACGGGTGGCTCTGGGGTCCCTGGGTCAAGCCCCAGCTGTTGCCCGTGGCTAGAGCAGGACAAGGTGGAAAAGACTGGTCTGGGACACTGCTTGACGCTGGAAACGCCAGCACAGAGGAGCTGAAGCCACCATGCTGCTGGCGTACACAGGGATACTGTGCTGAAAACTGCCCTAGGGACTAAGCCCCAGCAGGCCCTTCAGAACCCATGCCTCAGAGCAACCACTCCCGCTTCCTCAGTGCACAGGGAGCAGGACCATGGCTACAAGTTCCAACTGCGGCGTGGTCAGAAGTTTTATTCGACTGCCCTCAGCCAGAGATCTCCTGCAGCCGGGAAAGCGGTCTTCAAGAGACAGACCTGGGACATTTCAAAACTAGCCCTTCAAAGTAGCCCAGCTCCCCCCAGAAACCTGGACCTCCACCCTGCCCAGAGAGCCATGTGGCCGTGTCTTCGCCAGCTTGCACTTGGACGTCATGTAACCGTTGCGCCCGCTGACGGTGGCCAGAAGGATCTCCTGCGGGCAGATGATGGGGCAGAGCTCTCTGTGCAGTGCCCTGAGCCAGAGCAGCAAGGAGCCCGAAGTCACAGTGAGACAACGGCAGAGATAGAACGGAACCCAGGAGTCCTGGGTACTGGTCCCCTTTCCTCTCCCCAAGAGATGACGCTCCCCTCCCGAGACAGTTACGGTGGAAGCACAACAAAAATAAATAAGACGGCAAAGCTCCAGACTGGGGGCAGAGGAAAGGGTCCAATCCAGATTCTAGCCCCTCCAGCTGCCAACCTTCTTGGGGAAGGAACAAGGAAGGATTCAGTGGCAGCCTAAAAGCGAATTGAAATCAAGTGTTCCCCAGGGGGGCAATGTCTTTCCCTCAGAGGGATATTCTATTCCGATTTGCACCCCAAGGAAGATCTGGGTTTCCAGGTGACACCCAGCGCGGTTCCCAGGGCAATGCCAGCGGGCAGGGGAGGTATCTGCTCCAGGGGACTGTCCTGTTCGATGCAGGCCTTCGTGCTTCACAGTTCATCATGGGGAATGTGCAGGGCATGGTCGCACAGATCTACACACACAAGCACAAGGGCACAAGAGGTTAGAACATGGGAATGATCCGACTGGATTAGAGCCGCAGCCCAACCAAGCCAGCAACCTCTCTCTGCAGTGGCCAGCACTGGCTGCTCCAGAGACAGGCCAAGAACCCTGGAAGAGGCAGTTCTGGGACAATCCCCTCCTGATCCTCCCTCCCCTCTTCCCCACCCTGAGTTAGAGGTTGGTTCAGGCAGTGAATCAGCAGAGCTCACGTTCCTTACACAACTTGCTCTTACTTCGCCCTGGCTGGTCTCGCTAGCATGACAAATGTCTAATCCCTGCCCGAATCTTGTTTCTGGTCTCAGTCAGATCTAGCAGCAGCGAGGTCCACCAGCTAATCGTGCCACGTGTGGAAAACACACTCTCCACTGGGAACGTGCTACCTTTCAATCTCGCTGAATGTCCATGTATTACATTACGGTGGCACCTAAAGGCCACAAAGCTGGGATCGGGTCCCATTGTGAGTTTCCTACACATGCGGACGACTGGCTCATCCCCAAAGTGTTTGCAGTCTAAGCATTTTGCTGCCAGTCTGTTTCGGTTTTTCAAATCCGACCTTCAGTGACATTTCTATCCAATCCTAGGAAACAGAGCAGCTACCACAAGCAAGTCCCTTTCCAATTGGCTTAGCAGCCCATGGCCAGGGAGGTCTACAGCCTCCAGGTCCCTTTTAAATGTGGAGGAGTCCCATATGTTCCTCAGGCAGGTGTTTAGAACACCTCCCAGCTGCCACAGCCGCTTTGTTGACCACACGCATGTCTAGAATCCAAGCACTTAATCTACCTGGAGATAATTTCACCCTCACTGAAATGCAGCCATCTCTAGGTGGGATGTAGCAGCTCTTTAACACGGAACAGCACTACACAGTGGCCAAGTTCTTGAAAGAAAAGCAGCAGCCTGCATGTGAATGAATGGGGTGGGTAGGGCAGTAGAAAACAATTGCCTAGTGAAGGAATGTAGGAAGGAACTGGACTAACACCCTGACTCTTGTAAGGCCAGGTAGATCAGCTTAAGGTACACAACTCCAGCTACATAAATAAGGTATGTCAACTCCAGCTACATTAAGCCAAGCTTGGTGCTGCCTTCATAGTGGGCGGCCGACAGGAGCAAACGCTCCTGTTGGCTTCCCTTACTCCTGGAGACTGCAAGGAGTCCTTGTGCGGATCGGAGGCACCCTCCGCATTTGATTTAGCGGGTCTTTACTAGACCTGCTAAATCAAACTCCAGAAGATTGATCTCTGCGGTAAGTATAGACAGTCTTAAAGGGGCAGCAGGGTCAACAATTTGTGACCTGGAGTTCAACTCTCTTTCAGACCGAAGGCATCTTTCCTAGCTCCTCTCCTCCTAGAGCTGAAGAGCACAGGAGACCAGGGCCTGACTCCCAGCCGTTTACGGAAGCACACAGCAATCAAGGGGCCGGCTGGCTTTGCAGGGCAAGGACGAGGCCACTGCTCACGTGAGGACTGAAATATCTGTCTGCCAGCCAGAGAGTAGGAACTGGCAGGAATGGGGGGGGGCACACTTTAGTTAGTGGCTAATGAGAAACGCGGCTGTTTGAACAGAGCTGTTGAAGTCGGCCTTTGACCCAGATAGAGCAGATGGCAGGAGCTATCTGCCGAAGACTGACGCATGGATGTGGCATGCAGCACTATCAGGTGTGCAGGTTTAGGGATATGGGAGGATGAAGGTGTAAAGCCAGGCTCCCTTTCCAACAGCGTGGACAAGAAAGAACAAAGGTCAGGCAGCTCCCAGGGCTGCCGTCCAAAAATAACTTTGCGGGATGGAAAATCAGTCCCTGCAATTGGCGGCTCCAATCCCATCCCTGCTCTTGGCACCCAATGAGAATTCCCGGCGCAAATGAGCTTGGTTGTGGGAGGAATGACTCTCCCATGGCCCTGCCTCGCAAGAGGGGGGGGGGGGGGGAGAGTGTGTGTGTGTGTGTGTAAGGCGGGGTTAGAAAAAGCAGCATGAAATATAATTTCTTGACTCGCAGCCCTTAGTCTGGGAGCAGCAAGCCCAGGGAGCCGGGACAGCCCCTGTGCACCAGATCCAGGGATGGTTCTGCCGCATGCAAGCGGGGGCTGCTATGTAAGACGGGATTTGTTTTGGTCCGACAGTGCTTGGCCTTGCTGATCTTCCGGAAGGGAGCCAGGCTTGTCCATTCGCACCAGAGTGGCTGTGGAGGGGGAGTTTATTAGCTCAGTGCCAGGCTGGTTTTCTCTGACCCACGTTTCTGTATCACCCTGGTCATGGGGTTACTGCCATCCTGCAGATGGGCGTGTTTTTACAGATCGTGAGGGCAACTGGGTCAGGGATGCAAAGGGTTAATTGGTCAACCGGTTAACTCAGATTCCATCAGTGGACCAGTCTGAAAGGGCTGTCTGATAGAGCGATCCAGAGGCTGCAAGAGAAGAGAGAGCCTGGAACAGCAGTGCCCAGTGGTGTCAGTAGACCTTGGCTCTATTCCCAGCCCTGCCACTGAACTGCTGGGGAATCCTGGGCCAGTCACTGCATCCCCGCTTCAGTTTTCTCATCTGTAAAATGGGGCCAATGACCCAGGTTGTGCTACAGGAAGGGCTTTAAGATCTATGCACGGAGCACCCTGGGTCACAGCTAAGTCTCATTAGTTCCTTTCTTACCTTCCTTCCTTCTGAGCAGTTTTATTTAATGGCTTCTCTACAATGCTCAACAGAGCATCTGGGGAGTTAGCCAGCACTCTACACCAGGGAGGTGGTGGTGCCCCTGTGCTATAGATGGGGAAACTGAGGCACTGAGTGGGGGAAGCAACTTGACCAAGGTTGCATGGAGTGTACATCAGAGTCAGGAATTGAACCAGATCTCTCAAATCCTTCATATGATCAGCCAATCAAAACAGGCCTACCATCTCTGCTCTTCCCCGCTGGGAAAGGTCACTTCTAGATGGCTGTCTCGATCCCTTCCCTCCCATCTCAAAGGAACATATGGACCATGCTGCGGAGGGATCGCGTTCCCCATCCCTGAAAGGCAGCTTCCTCGGGGCTGGAGAGCAGCAGTCACCCTGTACAAGTGATGCCGCAGGACTGGTGCATGATGGGAAGTGGGGAATAACAACGCTGATTGAGGGGGACCAGCCGTGGTCTCTTGGTTAAATTCTGTACGCACCGCCCCCCCGCACTGCAAACTGCCAACAGCTTCTGGTCTGTTCCATCTCACTCCTAGCGTGGTGAGTTCCGTCCTCGGCATCTCTGCTGAGGCTGCCAGCAAGGGGCCAATTGGAGCCAACCATGATGGCTGAGGCCCTCCCCAGTTTCACATGGGAGCTGCTGTGCAGCCCTGGGACATAACAGCGGGTGCTGACAGGGCTTGGCCTCCAGACAGCTCTCAAGAGGTGAACGAAAGCCCCCCGGCCCTGTGTGTTTAAAACAAAGCGAAGGACGTATTTCTTCCCACTGCGCGCTGGGACTGGTAGAACCCCTTGCCAGGGGACGACATGATGGGCAAGATTATAAACAGGGCTCAAAAGGACCCGGAGGATACGCCCATCAGTGGCTATTAGCCTGCTTGGGCAGGGATGCAAAACCATGCTCTGAAGTGTCCCTGACTTGCTGGGAATGGGTGCCAAGGGGGCGGATCCCTTGATAATCAGCTCTCCTGTTAATGGTTTCTGAAGCCCCCAGCCTTGGCCACCGTCGGAAGGCTGGACGCTGGACTGGACGGACCCCTGGTCTGACCCAGTGTGGCCGTTCTGTTCCCTGGCTGGCTAGCGCCTGCCCCAAGGAACCAAGGAGCCTCGCTTACCAGTCCGTTTGCTGCACAGCCGATCCTTGACATGGTCGGTCTCGCGGGAGAAGAATTCAATGAGCTCATCCTCATACTCCTCAGCGATGCTCTCACACTGCAACGGGAGCCAGAGAGGGTCAGAAATCTGCCCCCTGCCTCCCCAGCACTTAGGGGTCACATGGGACAGCAACGACAGAGAGGAGAAATGCTCTCCATAGCCCCAGTCCTCTCCTTAAGCTCCCAATGCACAGGGGTCCGTTCATTGGAGAGGGACAGTTTTCTGTAGCCCAGGAAGGTCAGGGGTCAGCTGACGCTACCGAGAGCAGCCTGGCGTCTCCCACTCATCCACTAGTGCCCGGCAGGGCAGAGGCTACTGTGGCAGAGCATCAGAAGTCACCAAGGAGCCACCTTCAACTGGCAGCTGAGTGCCGTGCCCGGAGCTCCCGATACACCCAGCCCCTCTGCACTCACTGCAAACTTCAGGGTGGACGTGACGTCCCCGTCAATTTTGGTCCCAGAAAGGTCCATCTTGGTCCCATCGTGGGAGATCACCCGGACGTAGCTTTTCCGGTGGGTGGAGGGATCCACCTTCTCCCCGTACTCGTTCATCTTCTCGCAGACCCGCTCTAGCAGCTCCGTCAGGTGCGCTTCGGATCTGGCGTAAGGCACCTGTGGAGAACCACAGAGACCTGATGCGCTGGGCAGAGCTCATTCCCCGCGCCGCTCCCGCACGAGGCAGCTGCGACAGCCACGCTCCATCCAACGCTTCGGTAGGAGCCGCGCTGGGCCGCCCAGCTGTCCCTGGGAGTAGCGACTGCATCTCCACTCGACACGCAGGCCAAACGACTGGGCCAAGGCCGCCCAGCGAGCCAGAGGGACAGCTCTGCACGGCACGCAGGATCCCACCCCCCCCCAGCCCCCCCCAGAAGTCCCCAGCATCCTGGATGCCAGCCCCCTGCTGCATCAGCCAATGCTGCCTTTCCAGAGCAAGCCCTGCTACTGCACAGGAACCATTCCCAGCCCCCTCAGGCTGGCTTAATCTTCAAAACAGGAATCCTCCCCTCTTCTTTGGCTCATCCCACCTCAGAGCCTTTCGGGGGGAGGAAAACTACCTGGGAGCTTGGACTTGCTCCCTTCTCCAGCCCTTTTCCTCCCAACATGTGGCTGCTACTTCCAGTAGGGGTCTCCTGTCAATTTGCCAACCCTTTCCCCTCCCTTAAACCTCATAGACTCATAGACTTTAAGGTCAGAAGGGACCATTATGATCATCTAGTCTGACCCCCTGCACAGTGCAGGCCACAGAATCTCACCCACCCCTCTTAGAATAATCCTCTCACCTATATCTCAGATATTGAAGCCTTCAAAGACCTCACCCTTCAAAGACACCAAGGGCTGGAGAGATGTACCAAACTGGGCAGCTGCAAGACACCCTACCTCTACGACTGACTGGCTGCCGTCCGGGTTGATTCGGAATGACCCCATCTGGATGGTTTTCTTGGGGTCCACCTGGGAGATCTCCCATTCCAGCTCATCCACCAGGGCCCGACAAGCTAGAGAGAAGGGGAGAAAACTCAGCTGCATTAGTGACAGATGGTGACAGAGGGAGAGAAGCAAACAAGTTATCCAGTCTGCCCCTCGCAGGCACGGACACATCATAAACATACAGTTCAATAGTGCATGGTGTGCCAGCACTGGGAACAGCAACCAAGATGGTCTCCTCCTAAGCGTGTGCCCAACGCAATGCCAGTCACAGCCTGGGAGGTGACCTACTGATAGGGAAACTGAGACACGGGGCACAACTGTCACATAGCGATCGAGCTGGGAACGCTCCCTCTACCTCCACAATGGAGATCCTGACTACTCCCAGCAAGAACGTTGTTCAGCAGAGACAGCAGGACGACAGACAGGCAGAGTGCGTGTGAAACCCAGCCATTCATCTTCCCGGTCGCAGGCTAGCGCAGTGACCTGCAGAGAGGCAGAAAGAGTTCAGTGCTTCCAGATCACAGCTCCTCCCCTCGGCCACGAGGGGCACCCACCTTCCAGCAGGCACTGTGCAAGCGACGCAAACTCTGCCTCTGCTACAGCTACAGCGATCCGCTAGGGGCCTGTCTACTTGGGAGACACGTGTAAGGCTGTTTCTACACTGCCGCTAGCTGCATACAAACTTTAGTCATTCAGGGGTGTGAATAAACACCCCTCAAGTGACGAGTTTTAGCCCTGAAAAGTGCCCGCCAGTATAGACAATGCTCCTGGTGATAAACCTCTCACCCCTCATTCAGGATTTTTTTGTTTTTAACACCAGGAGACCTCTCCTCCACCAATCAAGAGTGACCAAATTGCCCGCATGTGTGTTAACACGGGCAGTGCAGACATCATGCCACACTGGTACCGCTGTACCATTATAACCTTCCCCAACGTGGCCATGCTTATCTCAGCATCAAGGCGGCTTTCTTTGACTTCGCTTAAACTGCTTGCAAAGCGGCAAAAGCTACACCAGAAAGGACCTAGCCTTAGCAGAAGAGCCTCTCTCTGGGCACGACACTGGTGTACGATAGCATTTAAAATTCCCACCCGGCATATCCTGCTATAGCTCCCAGGGAGATTTGCCCAGGAGTATCCCTGTCCTGCCCCCAGAGCCTAACCCATTTGCGCTGGGCCAGCGTTCACCCAGGGCTCTATGGCACAATCACTCCCTGTTTCCAAGCTGCCCTCAGAAGAGCGCCTCTTTGTCTGCCGGGCTCCCTTGCGAGCACAAAACCCTGATTGTGCGGAGGGACCGTTTTTGGCAGCTCTTTGCTGGTTACTGGGCTCGGGCAGTGCCTCCTGGGGCGCCGGTTCAGAACCTAACAAGGTGGAGAAAGGGCCCGCAAGTCCCCCCACCAGCCCTGGGGTGGGTGGGCAGGGGGGGAACCACAGCATCTCCCCAGCACAGCAGCCAGCAACCACCACTCCACATGCAGCCTTGGGGGGCAGGCTGCACAGAAGCCCTTATAGGGACCCCGATCCCCTATACACCCTACAGAGATCCCCATAGGGACCCCCTAGACACCCCCCATGCCCGGTCCCCATACACCCTACAGAGACCCCCACAGGGACCCCCTAGACACCCCCCATGCCCGGTCCCCATACACCCTACAGAGACCCCCACAGGGACCCCCTAGACACCCCCCATGCCCGGTCCCCATACACCCTACAGAGACCCCCACAGGGACCCCCTAGACACCCCCCATGCCCGGTCCCCATACACCCTACAGAGACCCCCACAGGGACCCCCTAGACACCCCCCATGCCCGGTCCCCATACACCCTACAGAGACCCCCACAGGGACCCCCTAGACACCCCCCATGCCCGGTCCCCATACACCCTACAGAGACCCCCACAGGGACCCCCTAGACACCCCCCATGCCCGGTCCCCATACACCCTACAGAGACCCCCACAGGGACCCCCTAGACACCCCCCATGCCCGGTCCCCATACACCCTACAGAGACCCCCACAGGGACCCCCTAGACACCCCCCATGCCCGGTCCCCATACACCCTACAGAGACCCCCACAGGGACCCCCTAGACACCCCCCATGCCCGGTCCCCATACACCCTACAGAGACCCCCACAGGGACCCCCTAGACACCCCCCATGCCCGGTCCCCATACACCCTACAGAGACCCCCACAGGGACCCCCTAGACACCCCCCATGCCCGGTCCCCATACACCCTACAGAGACCCCCACAGGGACCCCCTAGACACCCCCCATGCCCGGTCCCCATACACCCTACAGAGACCCCCACAGGGACCCCCTAGACACCCCCCATGCCCGGTCCCCATACACCCTACAGAGACCCCCACAGGGACCCCCTAGACACCCCCCATGCCCGGTCCCCATACACCCTACAGAGACCCCCACAGGGACCCCCTAGACACCCCCCATGCCCGGTCCCCATACACCCTACAGAGACCCCCACAGGGACCCCCTAGACACCCCCCATGCCCGGTCCCCATACACCCTACAGAGACCCCCACAGGGACCCCCTAGACACCCCCCATGCCCGGTCCCCATACACCCTACAGAGACCCCCACAGGGACCCCCTAGACACCCCCCATGCCCGGTCCCCATACACCCTACAGAGACCCCCACAGGGACCCCCTAGGCACCCCCCATGCCCGGTCCCCATACACCCTACAGAGACCCCCACAGGGACCCCCTAGACACCCCCCATGCCCGGTCCCCATACACCCTACAGAGACCCCCACAGGGACCCCCTAGACACCCCCCATGCCCGGTCCCCATACACCCTACAGAGACCCCCACAGGGACCCCCTAGACACCCCCCATGCCCGGTCCCCATACACCCTACAGAGACCCCCACAGGGACCCCCTAGACACCCCCCATGCCCGGTCCCCATACACCCTACAGAGACCCCCACAGGGACCCCCTAGGCACCCCCCATGCCCGGTCCCCATACACCCTACAGAGACCCCCACAGGGACCCCCTAGGCACCCCCCATGCCCGGTCCCCATACACCCTACAGAGACCCCCACAGGGACCCCCTAGGCACCCCCCATGCCCGGTCCCCATACACCCTACAGAGACCCCCACAGGGACCCCCTAGGCACCCCCCATGCCCGGTCCCCATACACCCTACAGAGACCCCCACAGGGACCCCCTAGGCACCCCCCATGCCCGGTCCCCATACACCCTACAGAGACCCCCACAGGGACCCCCTAGGCACCCCCCATGCCCGGTCCCCATACACCCTACAGAGACCCCCACAGGGACCCCCTAGGCACCCCCCATGCCCGGTCCCCATACACCCTACAGAGACCCCCACAGGGACCCCCTAGGCACCCCCCATGCCCGGTCCCCATACACCCTACAGAGACCCCCACAGGGACCCCCTAGGCACCCCCCATGCCCGGTCCCCATACACCCTACAGAGACCCCCACAGGGACCCCCTAGGCACCCCCCATGCCCGGTCCCCATACACCCTACAGAGACCCCCACAGGGACCCCCTAGGCACCCCCCATGCCCGGTCCCCATACACCCTACAGAGACCCCCACAGGGACCCCCTAGGCACCCCCCATGCCCGGTCCCCATACACCCTACAGAGACCCCCACAGGGACCCCCTAGGCACCCCCCATGCCCGGTCCCCATACACCCTACAGAGACCCCCACAGGGACCCCCTAGGCACCCCCCATGCCCGGTCCCCATACACCCTACAGAGACCCCCACAGGGACCCCCTAGGCACCCCCCATGCCCGGTCCCCATACACCCTACAGAGACCCCCACAGGGACCCCCTAGGCACCCCCCATGCCCGGTCCCCATACACCCTACAGAGACCCCCACAGGGACCCCCTAGGCACCCCCCATGCCCGGTCCCCATACACCCTACAGAGACCCCCACAGGGACCCCCTAGGCACCCCCCATGCCCGGTCCCCATACACCCTACAGAGACCCCCACAGGGACCCCCTAGGCACCCCCCATGCCCGGTCCCCATACACCCTACAGAGACCCCCACAGGGACCCCCTAGGCACCCCCCATGCCCGGTCCCCATACACCCTACAGAGACCCCCACAGGGACCCCCTAGGCACCCCCCATGCCCGGTCCCCATACACCCTACAGAGACCCCCACAGGGACCCCCTAGGCACCCCCCATGCCCGGTCCCCATACACCCTACAGAGACCCCCACAGGGACCCCCTAGGCACCCCCCATGCCCGGTCCCCATACACCCTACAGAGACCCCCACAGGGACCCCCTAGGCACCCCCCATGCCCGGTCCCCATACACCCTACAGAGACCCCCACAGGGACCCCCTAGGCACCCCCCATGCCCGGTCCCCATACACCCTACAGAGACCCCCACAGGGACCCCCTAGGCACCCCCCATGCCCGGTCCCCATACACCCTACAGAGACCCCCACAGGGACCCCCTAGGCACCCCCCATGCCCGGTCCCCATACACCCTACAGAGACCCCCACAGGGACCCCCTAGGCACCCCCCATGCCCGGTCCCCATACACCCTACAGAGACCCCCACAGGGACCCCCTAGGCACCCCCCATGCCCGGTCCCCATACACCCTACAGAGACCCCCACAGGGACCCCCTAGGCACCCCCCATGCCCGGTCCCCATACACCCTACAGAGACCCCCACAGGGACCCCCTAGGCACCCCCCATGCCCGGTCCCCATACACCCTACAGAGACCCCCACAGGGACCCCCTAGGCACCCCCCATGCCCGGTCCCCATACACCCTACAGAGACCCCCACAGGGACCCCCTAGGCACCCCCCATGCCCGGTCCCCATACACCCTACAGAGACCCCCACAGGGACCCCCTAGGCACCCCCCATGCCCGGTCCCCATACACCCTACAGAGACCCCCACAGGGACCCCCTAGGCACCCCCCATGCCCGGTCCCCATACACCCTACAGAGACCCCCACAGGGACCCCCTAGGCACCCCCCATGCCCGGTCCCCATACACCCTACAGAGACCCCCACAGGGACCCCCTAGGCACCCCCCATGCCCGGTCCCCATACACCCTACAGAGACCCCCACAGGGACCCCCTAGGCACCCCCCATGCCCGGTCCCCATACACCCTACAGAGACCCCCACAGGGACCCCCTAGGCACCCCCCATGCCCGGTCCCCATACACCCTACAGAGACCCCCACAGGGACCCCCTAGGCACCCCCCATGCCCGGTCCCCATACACCCTACAGAGACCCCCACAGGGACCCCCTAGGCACCCCCCATGCCCGGTCCCCATACACCCTACAGAGACCCCCACAGGGACCCCCTAGGCACCCCCCATGCCCGGTCCCCATACACCCTACAGAGACCCCCACAGGGACCCCCTAGGCACCCCCCATGCCCGGTCCCCATACACCCTACAGAGACCCCCACAGGGACCCCCTAGGCACCCCCCATGCCCGGTCCCCATACACCCTACAGAGACCCCCACAGGGACCCCCTAGGC